GCAGGAATACCTGAATGTGAATTTGGTCAGAGAGAAGAAACCCAGTGATCTTTCTAACAGTTGAACTGAGGCTTCTTGAGAAGCCCTAATCAACATTCGAGATTAAGGAAGCAGGGAGTTTTCAGCACCCAGACCAGTAATGCTAATTCTCATCTGGTTTTGCTGCCTTGTACAAGGCACATGCGTTTTTTGCAAGGGTATTCCATGGAAGCAAATGGAACATGGGGTCCTCTCTTTGCTGGAAACTGAAGCAAAAGTGGTGATGTGCAAAAGTCTCTGCTGGTAAAACTGGGCTGCAGTGACACAGGCCTACTGCCACCCTGCCAGCTATGGTGCACTCTGCTTATTCAGCATCAGTCTGAATCCAAACCTGTTTCTTTCTTATCCTCACGAGGTAGCACAGCGCACACCACTCCACATGTGTGCACCGGAACCAAAAACCCCAGGGCACCTACCAAACCAAAAGAAGTCTGCCAAGAAAACTCAGGAACCTTTTTTCAAAAAGAGTGGAAGACCAAAGTTTGTATAATTGTTGTATCCCTTTCTTAAGCAGCATGGCTGGGGGTTATTTCCTGACCATTCTGTTGTTTCTTCTTTCAGTCTGCAGTACACAGTCGGGGTGCCACAGACCACAGCGAGAGCACAGCATTACTGCTATGAGTAAAGCTAAAGGTCATGCTCTGTTTTAATTCTAGCCTTAACAAAAATTACGCATGTATACACATAGGCAAAAATTAATTTCCTCATAAATTCCTGCATCCTATCAGGAATTAACTGTGCAGCATTTAACTTTGTTTCAGCTGCCAGTCATGAGGTTTTATCTTGGTACACATTCCTCCACTATTACATGCCTCTTTGGTATAAGAACTGGTCATTTCATTTTAAGGAATTAGGATAAAATGAAGAACTTCAAAACATTAAAAATACATTAGTTTACTACAAGTATCTGTGCTACAACATACCTTTAGAAATGTATTTGGTAATAAATAATTATGGCATTACTATAACCAGTGACACTTCCTGAAAAGCTCAGGTAAGCAATCAGTACTGATTGGAGTTTGAAAAGAGTTCTCTGCCTGCAGATGCAGTTGAAATGCTTTTCATAAGAATTCCCCAACTGGAGAAACTTGCTGCTAAAAAATTCTTGTCATTTGGAGACAGCTCAAAGAGAGTTCAAAAACCACATGAGAACTTTCAACATCGTTGAATGCAAAAACGGCACATTTCTGAACTGGCTACGCGTCACTTCTCTTCTGAGGTTCTCCCACTGACATAACCACAGCTACAGTGTATGCTGACAGCTCCCGTGACATTTTTAGAAGCGGGCCTTGGAACTAGTTCAAGCTGATGTGACTGGGATTTTGTCTCATGGGAGACAAACCATGGGATAGATCAGAAAGGCAGCGGTATCTAATTTTATTTGCACCTTACCCTGAGAGGATTTTCATTAAGGTAAGGAGGTTCTCCTTCCACCATTTCTATTGCCATGATCCCAAGTGACCAGATGTCCACTTTGGGGCCGTATGCTTTTCTTGTCACCACTTCTGGTGCCATCCAGTAAGGAGTCCCAACCATTGTGCTCCGTTTACTCTGCTCAGGGGTGATCTGAGCACAGAAGCCAAAATCAGCTGAGGAGAAAAACAAGTATTGTTAAAGCTAGCTTGAATTACGAAACCAAGCAAAAGGAATCCCCACTATACGCCTGAGAATGCGCTGTTGAATCTATCTGGAAAAGCAGCCATGCTCTGTTTACTCAGTGCTGTAGCCAAGGAAATGTTGGATTGGCCACTTAAAAAAAATCCCCAAGTTTCATGCAGTGGCTTTTATTCACTTGAAGCTTTAGATTGTGACTCCCTCCCTCTGGAAGGGACATACACAAACCAAAGCCACTCTTTACACCTTTTTCCTTTCTATACCTCTCTGCACGGCGGAATTGCGCTCTGAGCTTGCAGCAGTGGTCAGTGCACTACCACAGGCATCACTTTTGGGTAATTGGCAGTCAGTCAAAAGCAGCCCCACGCCACATCCTGGGAACGCTGCGCCTGACCAAAAATACCTACTCAATTTGACAGATCCATCCATTCCAAGAAGAATATTGTCGCTTTTGATGTCTCTGTGAATCACTTGGTTTGAATGAAGGAAATCCAGTGCTTGCAGGCACTGATAGATAAAAAAGAAACATGAGGGTAAAAATTAATGACCTGATTTCATCACACAAGAAAGGAAATGGCTCTAAAAGATTTAATTTCTAGATGACTTGTGAGTAATGGCAGAATATTGTGCTGTCAAGAGGAATAGCTTGCTGCTTCAACACTATTAGAGTAGGAACTTTCTAAATGAAGGCGTATTAGCTTTTGAAAGAGAAATGTCAATTATTGTTACAGACTATCCCCTGAAAGCACAGACAGAATGACTACTGCTGCAATGAATGTGCTATCTCCATCCATATGACAAACTATTGTTTGCCAAAAAAGAAGTCGTCCCTTCCTTCGGTATGAAGTGGATCACGTTCGGGTGGGAGGTTGCGTGACAAAAATTTTATTGTTAGGCTCTACAGCAGACTTGGAAATAGCATGTTAGTCATTTTTCAGAAGCAAACACCATTTTGGGTGGAATGCTACCCTTTTAAGCTGAGGACTGTGATAAATGAGTCTCTATTTTTCTTTGCTGTTGTTTTAAAATTCTGCCACCAGCATATTTGCTTTTACAGGCAAGGAATGCAATACAGACATGCTCCAGGCAAACGTTTAAAGAGGCGAAATTGAGAATAGTAAAACAAACAAACAAACAAACAAAAAAAGGTACAATAACAGTATATAAGAGTATAACAAGCACAGCAATACTGGCAGGCAGTTCACTTGAGATGCTCTTTCTTCTCCATATTATAAAAGCAACACAAAAACAAAGCTCCAACCATGAAATCACTCATCTTACCACTTCTTTAGTACCATCCTGTCCAAGTAATTGGAAGCACACGCGGGATCCCTTACCTCCCTACAGACAGCTGCTATCTGTCCTTCATCCATACATGTCTCTGTAACAACATCGGTTAAAGAGCCTCCAGCCAAGTATTCCATAACCACCCAGAGTTCATCACCGACTAGGTAGCTGAAAGAAGAAAACAATGGCATGGAGATGAATGTGCAAAGCTAAATTACCTTATGAAAAAGACCACAGCTGATTTTTGTTTCCGGGTCATTTTTAAACAAAGACAGAACAAAATGACTAGACATTCCTTCTAGGCTATACAGTACTCAGAATCTGCGCGGTCTAAATGAGAAAGGCACATAAGTGAAAAATTAGACATCTTAGATGGTAAGCAAGTGAAAAATGCAGTTTAGTAACGGCAAAGATAAATCTTAAACCAGGACATATCATATCATCTGGTCCATCATCTTAACACATAAATTCCATGATTAACTCCAGAAACAAGGCAACGCAACTGTCATAGTTGTCCATGGTAGGAGGGTGTGTACCACTGAGGATAGAAATTAGTCAACAGTTTGGAAAACCTTACATAAAATACATTCAGAAACAGGAAAAACAATTTAAAAACTGGCAACTTCTGTGTTTCTGGAAACAAGAACCTAGTCTTCCTGGCATCCACAGCAATGGAAAATAGTGGGAACAGCCCAAGGGAAATAATTTCTATGATGACTTATCAGCACTTATTGGAAGACACAGAAAATGATAAAAAAGAAAAAAACCAACCCCAAAACACAAAACAAAAAAACCCAACAAAACATGGAGGTAGTGAACTTACAGGCTGTTGTTTTAGTAAGATATGGCTGATGCAGATTTTTGAAAACAGTCTTCAAACTATATATACCAGAAAAGATAAATGCAGACAAAATGCAATCTCCTCCCATACATTGTATATGAGTAGATAAATAATGAAGAGGTCAATTTTCTGCCAGTGACCAAAGGGGTTTTTTTTAATCTTTGGCTTGCAGTATGTAAATGGACATTCACATGATAATACCAGAAATACTTACCTGTCTAAATAGTTAACAATATTGGGGTTCTTATTTTCCCTCATGACCAGGATTTCATTAATAATTAGTTCCTTTTTGGGCTGTTGTTGGAGATTCATTTGCTTTATGGCCACCTAAAACGACATTGAAAACCATTAACTCGAGTAGTCCGTTGCACGAGATCAGAACGAGCATGGAGTGAGTGTTTTCAGCATGACGTAGCAGAGCTGTGCCAAACTGTCTTGTTATTAGACATAGGAGCTCAGACACTTAGGTTGCACCACCCTATTTCTCTGCTAGCTTGGGTGCTACCTAAAGGACGCATGGCCATATACATTTTGCCTTGTAAAATCTGTTAAAAATGGTCTTTAAACTATCGACCACAAATCTCTAACAACACTCTCTGGACCTACATTCTTCTCAAATAGCCTTAGTTTATCACCACTATTATTATTCATGCACATTTTGCAAGCAGGAAGTGATTTTGTTAGTGTGAAAATATATAAAACCAGCTGGTAATACTTTAGCAATTATATGGGTTTTGATCATTATTTCAGCAACTGCTGTTATTCTTGACTTGATTGCATAACTGAAAGAAAACACATATGTACATTATGTATAAAATGCCATACTAAAAAGATTATGGAGGTTACACAAAAAAATACAATCCTAGGACTTCCTAACTTCTTGAATTTTGACTTTGCAACTCTAAATAACATTCTTTAACACAGTTTAGATTTGCAATTATCTTCTGGGTTTAAAAAACATAATCAGTTCTATGGTATTTTATGGATACACCCAGGGTTACAAGCAGGGCTTAGGGCTTTTAGATCCCTTGTAGACCTCTATCTAAAAGCAGTTATGAAGTGCAGCACTGCAGGTGGGTGAGAAACTACCAGTAAGATTCCAATGTATTTGCTGGCAGCCAGAAATGATAAATCAGAAATCTTAAGCTGTAGCTCCAAAGAGCAACGGGATTCTCTAGGACACCACCTTGTCTGTTTATTACTAATATATATTGTATATATTCAAAAACTCTGGCTTGGAAAAGGAAACGAATGTTAAGATGCCACTTTAGGGACTCGCGGAGTTAATACTGCTTTCCTTCAAGATTTGTTTCTCATCCCACTGGCCCCCACTTCCCTGCCACCAGCTCACGGGCTGCAATGGGCTGTCACTGACACCGGACCTCAACACGACTGTATTGTTGAGGAGAGATCTTTGCTTGATGTATGTATGTCTTCTCCTTTGTCAGTGTGCGTGTCAACCGGCTTCAGTATGACTAAACCACAAAATTGCATCCTAAATATGATCTCTCCTTAATTAGGTCTTGCATTATACTTTGAAGATGAAACACATGATGGAAAAAATGCTAAATAGTATTACTGTCTGAACCTGTGATTAAGATAAATTGGGACTGAATGACGGCAGCCGCCATCAGCTAGTCAATGCATTAATATATATTTAGTAATTAAGACAGAGCTAGTGTGTCCTTCTCCGAAAGATAATGCTTCCCTCCTTGCATTCCTTCTGGTGGTTAATACGGACAAAGTCTGTCCAAAATTAAGCAACGTAATGAAGCTATTTATTCCTCGCAGCAACAGGGGAATCTGTGACCACCCCTAGGGTTCTTCCGAGGCCTCTCATTATGACAGATCTTTAGATTTTACCATCTGCATTGCTAACCAAACTACGGCCAGGTCCACATGCAGGTTTTATGCTGTAAATATACAGAGTTAAATTGTAGATATAGACCAATATTCTCTGTAATAGCACAACTTCATGCACGCTGAGGAACAGAGATAAAACAATTTCTAAACCAATATATTTCCACTGGCAATAAAAATCACATAGTTTTTATAAGGCCAAAAAGCTCGATGGAATTTCTTTACAGATTTCTCTCCATTAAAATACCCATTCAACAATGATGTGACATGGTACCAGGCCGGGACCAACAATACTGTGGAGAGCACTGACCTGTTCTGAAGACAGTAAGTAAAAAAAATTATTTCTCTTACAATTGGACTAAAAAGCTATGGGCGAAGCATCAGCCCAAGCACAGAGAGCACCAAGGCTCTTACCGATTCCGGGGGGACCAGGACCTCCCCTCCGGAATTCACAGGCACCTTTTCAGGCGTTAGTCACCACCTCAGCGTAATGGCTGCTGGAAAGGGGCTGGCCACCGTTAAGTGTTCAGTTACTGAGGCACAGAACCACATTGCCCTTAAAGAGCTTTCACTGAAAAGCTGAAGACAGCAGATAATGTATTTTGCCGGCTGACTCTAGTCCACGCTTAGGAGGAACGGCCTTAGCAGAAGATGCGTTTTGCAGGCTGACACTAGTCTGTGCTTCAGAGGAGCAGCCTCTGGAGTGAAGATCTGCTGGTGACCCAAAAGCCCCATCCACAGTTCGCACCGGCGGGGAAAGCACTGGAGACCTGCAAAACCTGCTGGGACTGTTGACGCTTACCTCTTGCCCCGTGGCGATGTCGATTGCTGTATAAACAGTTCCTGATGCCCTAGAAAAAACAGCAGTGAAGAAATGAGAAGCAGTTTAGTCCCCATGAGTGAAAGCAAGCCCAGATAGGAGACCTCTGCTGCCTGTAGTGTTTATAGAACCCCTTCGTTCGTCCCCTCCTTCAGCCAGCAGCGCACGGCGCAGCAGCCCACCAGCCCTCTGCCATGCAGGGTATCCAAGATAAAACTTATGTTCAACAGTAAGAAAAAGGGCTGGTGCAAATCTCAAACGTACATACTAAATTATTTTAGTTCAAAACTTAAGGGGGGGTTGTCTACAAAAACGGGAAAATAATGTATTTAATTCTTTTTCCATTTTCTCCAGTTTTGCTTTGTTGGGGTTCCCCCCCACCCTTTTGTGTGTTTTTTTGTCTGGGTTCCCCCCACCCACGGAATGTAACATACAGTCTAGTTGTGCCTTCTCAGACCTCTTATTTGAATCTATCTGCAAAATTCAGGCAACACCATGCAGTCACTCTGAGAACCGTGAATACATCTGACAGCCATTTGAGGAAAGGATCTAGACACAGCCTTCTCCAGCATGCAAGGAAACTATTCTCCAGCCATCCTGAGAGGACGCAGCTAGAGCAGGTTAAGGCATATCTCGTTTCACACACAAATGGAGATCTACTCAAAACAGAAGATCCTTAGGCAGCTTCTTTTTGTGTCAAGAGCCATCAGCAGCTGCTTTGGTTAGGTGCACCAGACACCTGAAGGACCCTTCATGGTGTCTCTGTTTTGCTTCTGTGGCAGACATAGGTTGTGTTGTAGAGCCACCAGATACAAATGGCATGCTCACCTGCAGACTAGACAGTGTGGTTTTTTTTTTTTTCCATCTGCCTCCCCTTAAAAGAGGTTCCTCCCCTGTAGTGATGTGAAGGGCCAGAAAGGCCACGATCAGAAGAAATCCCTTTGGGTTTAAAAGGAACTGCAGGCTTATAAACCCTCACGGGGCTTCCTTCCGAGCTAAACCACAGGTTTACACTGCCATCCTTTAAGAAGCCCATGTCTGCGTGGGCAGTGAGGCAAGGGAGAGCCAGGGTGGGAATTTTGGGAAACAGGAATGTGCATCCGGCAGTGTCCCACTGACTGAAAATGCCCAAATCAGTTTGCTCATTTTTACACAATGCTCCAGCTTGTTTGTTTACCTGCAGGCTGAAATGCTTCTGAAGCATTTTAATTCAACAGGCACCAGGTCCGTGTTGAGAACAATGTTCTCATTGGGCATGCTATGTATTCTTTTAATATAAATGCAAATGCATTTTCCTATGACTAATTGTTGAGATTAATCCAATTTGTTTTCATAAAAAGCCAACACCGTTTATTCAGACTTGCTAACACTGAGCTGTACCTCCTGAGCAAAGTCCCGTCAGGTTTTATTTAAAAACAGCTATTTAAATTAGGATGCTTTTGGTATGCTCCAGGCCATCCACGAGGAGTTTAGATAAAGGTGAGTAATTTAAGTAAAGCTCTGAATTAATTGCAAGGGCTCTGCAATTCTGCATTACGAACTTTTACTTCTAAGCAACTATAATTTCTGATCTGTATCTAACTTTTAAATGCTTCTGTAATATCTTGGTTTTAATCCAGTTAGGCAGGTACCAGGGCCCACAAGTAGATCTGTGTCACTGTGATGCAGTGCAGTACAAGTTCAAAAAAACCAACCTGAACCCAGGCTGCTCATGGCTCCATACTCATTTGTCTTTCTAGCAAGAGCTAACGCTGCTTGAGCAAACAGTGCCTCTTTATCAAGCACTGGTTAACTAAGTTTCCCCCAGTGTCAGCAGCATTTTCAATCCTCAGCTGGAGACAGACCAGAGACTCGGCACTGAAGCTGATCTGCTCTTCAGCACAGGCCTGCTGACTGCAAAGGGGCTGTAAAACCATCACGCTGTTTATTAACTCACCAGCAGTATGAAGCCATGAAGTGCTACGTGCCCGTCAAGTTGCTTTTTCCTTACACAAGAGTTTCTCTCTACCTGCAGTTCTCCAAGCAGCCACATCTCTTGCTGCCTTGCAGTGCTCTCATTAGCAGCTACTAAAAAATTACGCACTTCCAACACTATTAGTGCCTTTGGCATCACTGTACCCAACTCACTGCAAAGGCGTGCAGCTCGGGAACTGGCACCTGCATCAACTAAGCACGCCAGCACCATCCGAGGCTGTGCATCTCAGCCCAGCCCTGCTGCAGACAGACACGCTAACCCCAGCCATGCAGCAGTCCGGTTCCTCCTGATCATCCTGTTTGATTACCTTTGTGATGACTTTTTCTTTAGGATCTTTCCTCATCACTGTAAATTGACCTGCGGCATTACAGTCATGAGCTGGTTACGGCAGCACACTCACTCCTCTGTAAGAAGGGCATGCAATCTTCAGGCTGTACTAAAAGCTGGAGGAAATCAATTTAGATACCCTTTAAGGCCAGATATAAGCCACTTGTCTTTCCACCAGTTGTTGAGGCACCTTTGTACAAGCTCACTCCTAGGACTGTCAAAATAAAAGATTGTGAGGGTGACGGTCATGTTCTCACGGCGACAGCAATAATCTGCTTCACATGCATGTTTATTCTCTCACTTCTTCAGCTGACACTTGTCTTTTGAGAGACTGGCACAGCTCTAAGTGTCCACGGACATTTTACAAATGACAATAAGAACCAAAGCTTCAGGTAGAAAGCAAGCTGGAATCTGAGAAAGGGCTTTTATACAATGAATAGAGCAGAAACACCTTCCCACAAGTGCCCTACCAAACAAGATATATCTCATAAAGCCTGCCAGAGAAAGAGCGTGAGTGTGTCTGGCTTTCTGCAGTATAAATCACTTCTAGCTCAGCAACGTGCTACCCTGAGTTCAAACCTCATAAACAGTTAAGGCAGAAAAATATCTCCTGATGTCAGTAAACAGCTTCTGTCATACACTGACAGCAGTGTGATCCTGGTGTTACACAAATGGCACGAGCCCTCCGAGAAGCACAACACAGCCAAGCAAACTTTGACCGAGCAGGGAGTCAGTCCATATTTAAAATGCAAGTCAGAGACCTAATTTTGATGTAATTTCTTTTGCTCTTGCCTCCTCACGTAGGAAATATTTCGAATCAATCCTATTTCCAGTAAGCAAAGTTGGGTTTCAAAAGGGAATAGCTTGGTCGATTATTTTCAGTAAACTCCTAAAACCTGCAGGATCCACGAGTGGTCTGCCATCAGGCAGATGACCCATTTTCTCATCACATACTTTGTGCATCGACACTGTATTTATTACTGTATTTATTACTGAATTTACTACCTCTGCTAGAAAGGAGAGCTTATTATTTCATCTCTGGTTTCAGTTTCTAAACTATGTGGTTATAATCCTGATCACTGAATATTTTTTTAAGCAAAATATTTGAAATAAATATTATTGAAAACTGTTATTTATCTGACAACTACCAGTTGGTAACTTGCTCTTCTAGGCCATAAAGTTTCTTCTCCTTTCTTTAGCGTGGCAGTATTGTTTTGAGACATACAAAAATGATTTCTCCTAAGAAAAATAAGCTTGAGGGACAGCAGATCTTCCAGGTCCTGCTTCTTGCTGCAGACAAGACATTGCCAGCACCAAGTTGTCTTTGATGATGCCTTCTGACCACAGACAGAAATTCTGGTCAGTACTGAGAGACAGGAGAATCTAAACCCAGTATCTGACCATGTTTGGAGCTTGCCCAACTTTGCACTTGATATTACACCAGCAAAATACCTGGCCCATGTTTTTGTATAAGTAACTGTGATTGGACTTACCCTTGGCCAATTTTTTCAAATCGAGTGTATTTCTTCTTAGGATCTCCCACACTCACAATGCTCCCTGAAAGAAACAAAATTAAAGATGCTCGCTTAAAAATGGAGATACCACCTTCCAGCAGATCAGAAATGCAGCCCCACTGTCTGAGGTTGTGAGCCGACAGTAGTCAGTCGGGTAACACCACCACCACAGGCAGCTCCGTAGCACAGACGGCCTCCACAAAGACTGACTTTCTACAGTCCTTTGGAGAGTCACCTTGACAGGAAACTACGAACATGGAGAAACAGTCACAGGAGACAGGTATCAGAAAAGAACAAGTACTGATGCAAGTGTTTGTTGTCTATAAACATTAGTGACAGCTGGAACAATGAAGCCTTTATTTTCTTAAATACTTTATTTTCTTTATTTTCTATAAATACTCTGTGTGATTCAACAGAAGGTTTAATACTTCTGAAGATTAACTGCACCTTGGGTTCTGCAATCAATTTTTATGAACAGGTGCCATTTGCAGAACAGGAAGAATATTGCAAAGTGTTTCCAGGAGGGGATCTTCTCAACCTTTCAGCAGTTTGCCAAAAGAATGCCTTTATGTTTTTAAAGAACAGCATCTCATGTTATAATCAATAATTATGGGGCTGCAAGAACTATGACCCCTCATAATTTATTACCAGCCTAAGTTCTGAAGAAGACCTTGCTTGTGCCATTTTAAGAGCCACACTGCTTGTCTTCGACCTGCCTCGGATCAGTAACTAGCACTTGACTCGCACTCAACGCTGCACACATGCTCATCTTCACATAGAAGCAGAGCCGTGATGGGTAACAAGAACAGCAATATTCCTCAGGCGCTAGCGTTACACAGCCAGCTGCACAAATGAGATGCTGGTAGTTTCACGAGTACAGGCGATGCAGTTCGGAAGCCAGGCCAGATGGGATGCTGCCGCCTCCCGGCAGCAGCGGGAAGGCAGGGCCGGCCCATCCGGCACAGGGCATGGGACAGCCCGGATCCATCAGCCATTGTGGAGCTCATGTGCCACTGAAAGCTAAAATTAAAGCATGCACTGCTTGACGGCTTCTTTGCCCACTCGGAGGTGTAGGCAGTCTGAACGGAAAGGAAAGCAAGCAGTAATTAGGATACTGTGTTTGCGTCAAATGAGAGCCAAAATCTGATAAACTCAAACAAGTCTGAAGGAATAATTAAAAAACCAGTATTGTTTTTTCTGATCCGGTAGTTTCCTAGATAAAATACAAACAATGAAGTCTAAGGTGACGGCTCAATGCAAATGACTTCTAAAGATTTAACTTGGAACGTACGTCACTGAAATACTTTAAGAAGATTAGTTCAGGAGGAAAGACTTCCAATGTTTCGCAGCATATTTTGTTTGACTGATCTGGCAATATTCCTGTATCACAAATACAGACACATACTTATTTGTTCACCTGTGCATCCAAAGCAAAACTAGGTGATGCGCCATTCACTGTGAGTAGTAACAAACACGTCTCTCCCCTGTCCAGGCCATTTCTCTGGAGCAGAAGGCTTTAGCATCCAAATGGGCATCTGACTGGATGCCTAGCCAGGAATTCTGCCCGCCAGCATGGCAAGAAGACGGGGCATCAACACCATCTGGTACACTCCCTGCTAAAACAATTTTGCTGGCCTTGGCAAGATCGCTGATGGGAGCTGCAGGAGAAGAGTTTTCCTTTGCCCCGCGGTACTCGCTCCAGGAACGCCAGCCAGTGCCCACAGCTGATGGCAGCGCGAGCGCCTGGTGCTGGCTGTGGATGCCGACACAGTCTCAAGCAGCCTGAAGTGGTCCTGCCCTGCTGTGCCAGCCTGCAAGACTTGGGGTAACTGGATTGTCTGGAGTCCAAGCCAAGGGCGTAACGCTTTCAGGACCTGGTTAACTTTTCGTAGTTTCATCTCACTGAAACGTGTAACATCAGATGAAGGAGGTTGTAGTGAGGGGGGTGTTGGTCTCTTCTCCCACGTAGTTAGCAATAGGACAAGAGGAAATGGGCCCAAGCTGCGCCAGGGGAGGTTTAGATTGGATATTAGGAAAAATTTCTTCACGGAAAGGGTAGTCAAGCATTGGAACAGGCTGCCCAGAGAGGTGGTGGAGTCACCGTCCCTGGAAGTGTTCAAAAAACGGGTAGATGTGGCACTTGGGGAGATGGTTTAGTCTAGTCTACCCTTGATTGGTTTAGTGTGGACTTGGTAGTGTTAGGTTAATGGTTGGACTGGATGGTCTTAAAGGTCTTTTCCAACCTAAACGATTCTATGATTCTATGAAGCTTTCATTCTGCTTCTCTATAGTGCGTCTCCACTACAAAAGTAACTCTTCAGTCAAGAAGAATATGAGCAGAGGACTCTGGACTCCCTGTTAACTGACTGGAATAAGGGATGTGAGATGAGAAAGTGTACCCTCCCGCTCACACCGCGAGCTTAACCACCCCCAGACAGGGATCCCCGTGAGACTCTGCAGGACTAAGCCAAACACTGTCGTAATCCTGTGCTGGGCGGGACAAGATGAAAACCACTATGTTGTTGGTGTCTGGCTAGGTGCTATTTTCAGCTGGTTAATGGAACTGTGTATCTATCAGAACAGATATCGGAAGTTCATGGAAGTTCATGTTAGAAAAGAAGAAAAAGACTGCAGAACAAATATTTTGAAGAATAATTTTCCAAATTTGCCACTGATTTCGTGCTTCAGATTTCTGGTGTCTTTCTTCAAGACTTGAGTAGCTGCTTTTACAAGTTAGTTCTTTGTGGCTGGTTTTGTGTGCTTAAGCCAATGCACATCAAATATGACAGCACTAAAATCAACAAAGTGACTGCTACACAGCTCCAGTTCAGAGAAGAACTCTCTAGTCTGGACAAAAGATAAACATATCAGCTATTTTGATGTCTTTAAACACTTTTGTTTATCAAGTCCTAAATTAAGTGGGTAAGAAAGCAGAATTGGGCCACTTCTGTTTTATAATTACAGTGGAACATATGATTTCATTACAGACAGAATTTTACTTGATCTTATCTCAATATTACAGGCTTTATTCCCAGTAAAACTTGTAATGAAAGTGGCTTTAAAAAAACTCGAGTTATTTCAAGCAGAAAAGAATTACGAAAGCAATTTAAGATAAAAGAGGGCAGGGGACATCTTCCTAAAAGTAGCATAAAATCAGTTGTGGGGGAAGTAGGCAAGGTGGAGAAGTCATATGAGTTAAAACAAAACAAAAAAGAAAAAAACAACCACCACACACGCTGAAATATAATTAGCCCAGGACGGTAACAAAAAAGCATCACCCCCGTTTTCAGATAGCTTCATGAAAGCTCAAAAAGATTTTCATTGTCCACATTACAATTTGCCCAAGGGCAGACTTTCAGACCTTACTTGCTTGGTATCAAATTCTTAAGAAAGAAAAGGCACGAAAGCATGTAACATTTCAAAGATATAACCCACAATAATTCACGGGCTCAGTCCTAATCTGGCATACACAGAAGCTTGAATAAATGAGACGCATACTTACGTTGACGTATGCAGGGTACCTGCAGATCTCATGCTGGAAGCCTGCCTCAAACAGTTAGCCTCAGTTGAAGAAGCTACAATTCCTCCCTTTATAAGCTGACATACCTGCAGGTAACTATATGCCCTGGAATTTATTTCATTGTACCCTCAATTAAAGGTATTGGCCTTATCCCTTGGATACTCCCTAATGGCACTGAGATTCAGTTCTTTATATTCCTGTCAACCTACTGCTAAGGGTGCAGAAAACTAAGCACAAGCAACTGAAATCTCACAGCTAAGGAAGGCTTCAGCCTCTGCAGTCACACCAGCCATCCGTGGCAGGGCAGGTAGGACAAAAAGGTTGGTATAGCACAAGAACGAGCATTGACAACCACCCTGAAGAAGCCACAGCCAGACTGCACCCATTTACAAGCCGTTGCCCCCATTAAAGACAGAATGTTATTGGCTTTAAGATCAAACACGAAGAGGTGTAGATCAATCCAATTTCTGTCCTAACAGTTAACAGCAGACATGGAATAAACTGGGCTATGTTATGAACCCAACAATTTATTATCCAAGAACATAGCACTGGCAGCTATTACCTGCAAGAAGCAGATTAAATTGGTTGTACTGCAGAATCATGAAGGGCTTGATGTGTTTTCCTGGAGTATGATCTGTGCAGGGGTTTGAGGCCAACGGTTAGGATTCTAATAGTATTAACTGCCTGGGAATTAGCTATGACAAAGTGCCACGTATCTGAGGAATATACAGTGGATGTGCTGGAGGCTGGCTCCTGAGAAACGCTTGCAGTGCGGTTTTACCTGATGACGCCACACGCATGTGTCTCTGATACATCTTTATAAGCATAAGTAAAGAAATAAAATAAGGATTGTTATAGAAGTTGTTTGTTTGTGCTTGGTTTTGGGTTTGGTTTTTTTTTTTTCCTTTTCTTCTGGGGCACATTGAAAACACCTCTTCCTCTCTGTCCATGGTGTCAACTGATGTTCTTTCAAAGGAGTTCTCTCTTACAAAAATGTAGAATTCTTATAACAATGAACTCCAATATATTAGTAAAAGCAACAGTAGTAACAACAGTCATAAAAATGACACCAATAGAATACCTGGGGCAGGAGAGCTCCTTGAGGCTGAAGGAATCAGCTTAGTGCTGTAGTTGTCTCCTGGTAAAAAAACCCAAAAAACCAAAAACAAACCAAAAAACCAACAGATTTCTGCAAAGTATTTTGGCTCCAATGACTGGTGAGAAGTCACAAATCAAGAGAATTTAGGAAGCCAAATATTCTGTTCAATTTGGCCATCAGCACACAGGAGTTCACTAGGTCATCCACTAGGTCACAGCCTTCTGCTCAACCAGAAACAATCTCTGCTTTTGCCTTTAGCACAGGAGGAAGCTCAGGCAAATCCAACTCAGTCACAGCTGCCCTCAGAGGCAGAAGGAATACCCAGAGTGGTCTCTCACTTCCTCTTAAGAACAATAACAGTTTGTGTAGGGAGTTCGTAAGTGACTCTGTGACACTAAGCTGAGGATGAACATTTGGTACATATAACCCTGAAACATGCACACAGTACACTGCTGTATCAGACAAGAAATACGGAATACGTACTCAGTTTCTCTAGGATCTCCTCATCTGTCATCTTGGATTTTTTTCGCTGCCGGTCTGTGTTTCTGTACAAAGTGTTTGTGTTTGAGTTTTCAGGTTGGGGAGTGGTGGCTTCTTTAGCCGGTGCTGGTGCAGCGGCAGGTTCAATTACAGAGCGTGTGTAGATCTGTGACAAGAAATTATTTTGTGTCAGAAAGGTGGCTTGCAGAGATGCCACTGAGATCATATTTCAAATGCAAAACCTTAGGAAGATGTTGTCTGCCACATCCAGGGCCCTTAAAGCGTTTGCTTTTGCTGTACACTTCTCAAACTAATGGGCAAAAATGAAAGGCTAGTTTTACACAAGTTCAGGGCCAGTTTCATTTTCAATTTTCATCGATTTTCAGAAAGATGACTGATACAAAGAATTTACTGTGTTCTAAGGATACAGAAGTAGATCTGCCCAGGGCCCCAGAGCCTTGTTCCTTAATGCTCATGTGTTTTCATGGGTAATAAAATGACTCTTTAGTTGGTACGTAAGTGTCTGAATAGAAGCAGGGAGCATTTCCCTTCTCCGATCGTAACTGTTGAACTGACTTCTCATCAGTATTTCAAGCTTCAGGGAGTGGCCATTAGGAACTGTGTTCCAGTCCTTCAGAGACCCACCTCCTCTTTACAACGCACAGCTGCGTAGGATTCTTCTCACCAAACTTCAGCCATGTAAAAGTTAAGGGTGTAGTCTATGCTGTTCATTTAGCTACTCTGTGGAGAGGGACAGGTACCTCCAAGGGACAGTTTCTCCTATGTATCCTGCAAGGGTGTGACCTGCGTCTGATGACCACTCTCTCCACTGATGACAGAGAGCCTACACAGATAACTTTGGGCAAAGTTGCTCATTTTTACACCGGTAGCTTTAAAAGACACAGCGCTACCTCTTATCTGATACCAAGATAAATTCACAGACCCTATCAGGATCACAGGAAACTCATGACTAAATGTGAAAGTTCAAAACAGATTTTCCTGGTGTCAGTGGCTTGGGTGAAGCACTATGTCATGGTAGATTTCAGCCCTCAGACTCTTCATCTGCAAGTGCTGTCTGATCAGAAACATGCAGCTCTGAATTTCACCAAATACAGTGCTAACCAAAGCAGGGACTTACTGATTTTGTATGTTCAGGCCGTGGTGCGATAACAGGTGGAGGTTCATTGTCATCTTCCTCCTCTTCATCATCTTCATCCTCTTCTTCAGAAACAGAGGGAGCTAGCGGGGGTTCTGATGCTGTTTTTGTGCTCTGTGGACAGACAGCAACAAGAGTGACAGTCACCATTTCAGCACTTGGGAGGTTTGATATTACACATAACTTGAGTCTGCTTAGAAACCAATCCAGGCATGCCTACAGTCCTATAGGCCTCAGTTCTAAGTTACACACAGCACAATGCAATTTAAAGGCTACAAATTACTGTGCCGTTTTGTTAATTCGTCTTGGTGTTTTTCATTTTTGCTAAAAACAACTAAATAATTCCCAAGCTTAGTCAAAGTCTAATTTCACAAAATGTAATGCTTGGCTGTATCACCAGAAATCACATCTGGTTGCTGGTTAATTGCTTTGGTATTGCGTCTACAGAAATGGTAACAGTTAATTAAGCTCACAGGTGTCTACCTGCTAGGCTAATTAACACTTCAAAGTGCAAAGCCTCCTTCGTCATCTTGCTTGGGAATTTGGTTTTGGAGAGAATAGTTTTTTGTTTCTTTACTATTTTACCCGTGGGGTAATCATATTGCCCTGTTTCCACAGTACTGAATCTCCCTGTTTCGTAGCTCCTTTTTCAGCACCATCCTCCTCTTTACCTAATCCTAAGTTAACGCATTGATCTGTCCACTGTTTGCCTATTTCTTATGGCAACACTAACCCAAGCGAATGCAGCCCTCTCGGCAGCAAGGTGCCTCCTGCCGACGTGCCCGGGGCTGCCAGGCAGGCGTCCCGACCGCTCACCCCGGCCCCCGTTACAGGCAGCGGAGAATAAAAGCCACTGCCAGCGTGCAGTCGACCTTCAGGCAGACTCCAAACGCAGGGCAGGCAAGGGAAGCCTGGCTGATCAGCTGTCTACATGTAAACTGAAGCCTACAGTGCAGATATTTAAAGTTGGGTGAGTTGAACCCCCCCCACCAGTCCCAGCTGCTGCTCAGAGGCAGGAGGTTACATCACGTTGTCCTAAATTTGCTGCTGAAACAAAAATCTGAAGAGGTGCCTTGTGAAGTGTCTACCTACTGCTTTAAACCTGGCTACAACAGTCCGCTTAGGGAACCGAGGCAAATCCAAGGCACTATTCTACACATCCACATCTCATTTGCGTTATCTTTAAAATGGCACCAATTTGGTCCAGTATAAATCACCAGTAAGGGACGGCCTGCAGGAAACAGGGAGAGCTAATCTTCACGCCTGTGTTTTACCGAATAGATGACTGTATAGCCGCCTTAAGTCACCTGTACTTGAACAGTCACATAGATACACACACACACAGAGGGTATTGTATTTTCTGCACAACTCAGTTCAGTTACCCAACTTTTAAAGGTCAGTGGTGAAACAGGCTACTAAGCTGGCCAAAGCAGGGAATGACGTCAGATGTTCTAAACACCAGTTTAAGGGCCAACTCTGTCAAGCAAGAGGTGCCCTAATGGGAAGGTGAATGTTACTTTGTCATACATTAGATCAGCATATAGCTTTCTATGCATCGTTAGCACTTTGCTTACGTGGGGATAGAAGATGATTAAGGGAAAAATAAAGAAGAGAATAATCATGTCTTTGTTATGTCAAATTCTTACAACAATTTTTTCCACTGGGCTCCACGCTTGGTCTGACAGCACTAAATTGTGCAGCTAGAACATACACAATGTCATATTATTTAATGCCAGACTCCCATTAAGGAGTTAAATGAAATTAAAGTCATTCCAATGACTGCTCGATCCTGTCACGGAGTTGTTTTCCCTGTACTGTAACATTCAACCAGCATCCTCTCAGTCGGTAACTTTTGAAAGCTGGCATCTTGACTGCCTCACCACTGTCTATGCCTGGTAGAACAAAATACCCCGGCATCTGCCAGTGTGCCCACACCCACTGGAAAAGCTATTGGGAAGGCTCACTATGCTCTAGTGAACCCCAGACTTCCTTTTAAAAGTGTGTTTTATTGAAGATAATGAAAGTGGCATCAACCGAAAACCTGAAGCGTGAATATTTAAAGATTATTTTCATTTCATTATACACACTCTCTGCTGTGTAATCAAACACCTAAAATTAAGTCGCTTAACACCTGAAAATAAAGGCCAAATCCCCATTCAGTCATTTGCTATTTAATGCACTAACATTAACACTAATAAATCTGGTCAACATTAATGTGGATGTCATGACTACATCTCTGGGATTGCTATGGCAATCCAGTATTAATTAGAGTGGATGATTATTTAAAACTTTCTTTCAATGGTTCCAGTGAGTTACATATCAATTATAACCTTATTTATATTCAGCTACATATCCAGCTGTACTAAGGATAAATCATAAAATTTAATAGAAATGGATTCTTAGTTGTTAAAACTAAATTAAAATGGGGCTAATTAGACAGCACTGCATATTGTTGCAAATTATATATTCCACCATGGCTAAGAACAGCAAGCAATCTTCTGTTTGCAAACCCGGACTTTCATCTGTTTAAAGTTCTTAAACAGAAAATTAGAAAACAGCCAGTGATCCCTTTTCTGCTGGGGCAAAGACACTAAAATGTACTTTCTTTCAGCCCACAAGGCTGGCACTCTACCACAACAGGGAAAGCTCACAGCTTGCTCCACAATTGTTAAACGCTATGAAACAAAAAAGTTACTTCCACACTCACCGAAGGATGGGCTTCTATGTATCCATGGGCGCTTTTATCTGCAATGTGCAAGGGAAAATCAAGCAGTTGCTGTTATAAAATTGCCTCTTGTGGGGAATCCCACAGACCAAGTAAATCCAAATAGCATTTTTCTTTCACTACATCTCTCCAGTAACAACAATTATTTTACACAGCAAGCAAGGTAATAGGACAACATACTAGGGTTTTTTCTACAGTTTCTTATATCTATTTTTTGCCCTGTTTTGCCAGTAAATAAAATAAATAGAAACTTGGTCAACAAAACGCAAATTGTTCTTTAACAGTCAATGCTTCTGTTCTACCCAAGAGCTAAAGCAGCTTTTTTTCTTTTTTTTTTTTTTTTTAAATAAATTGCATGCATTGATTCTCTTCAGCTTGCTGAAAATGTTTCCCCATAAAAGCTTCCCCCAAATCCCCCTTAGCCGTGGCAGTTCTATTTGACATAGCACAGTAACAGCTCCCAAGTTCAAGAGCATTTCATCACAAAAGTAATTGCTATTTTAGCAAACATTAAGTGTGAAGTTAGACACTCATATCTTTTAATTATGGAATTTAGGTAAAAAGATGCTTTCCCTCAAAAGAAATGTTAGTAAATTCTGAAGATAACTGCACAGTTTTCAGAAGGACTTCTGAGAAGCTATCCCAGTCTGCATTTTGGAAGTTGTACTGGTTGAACCAGCAAATTGAGGAAATTACAGACTCCACCGCCACAGACTATCATGTGTAG